CTGGCAATGTGTGCACCAACTGATTGGGCTTGCTGCCCACTTGGGACATTTGTGTGACATGGTCCAATGCAGATGTGTCTCCAGGTGCTTCCCCTCCTCCTTTTTCATGATACATCTATAGATCTGCTGCAACAGCCAGGCTGGGCTGTAGCAGCTAACTGCTCAGGCTCTGCAGCAGCCAGGGAGAACTCCCCTTGCAGGAGGGAAGTCTGCTGACACCATAACCAGTGTAGGTGGCAGAGCTAGCCCCTCTACACATGCACCAGGGACTATCTAAAAGGGAGAGAGTGGTGAGACCTGGAAAGAGACATGTCCAGAGCTCACTGGCACAACCATCCCTGTGCACCAGCACAAGAACATTCAACAAATGCCCATCAGCCCATACTCCCCATGGCCTGTGGACCTCCACAGGCAGCAGCCCAGGAAAACAAGAGGTTGGGGTTTGTGCCCTACTTTAGTTGCTTCCTTCTTTTGCATCTTCAACTCAGACACAACTGGAGTTAATGAGTAAGCAACTCCAAATCTCTGCAGCCCTGAACATTCTCTCTCCCCCCTTCATCAGGAAACTATCCCCCAGCAAAATTAAAATCATAGAATCACAGAATGATTTGGGTCAGATGTGACTTTCAAAGACCACCTAGTCCAACCCACCTCTCATGGCCATGGGCACCTTCTGCTAGATCAGGTTGTTCAAAGCCTCGTCCAAACTGACCTTAAACACTTCCAAGGATGGAGCATCCACAGGTTCTCTGGTCAACTTGTTGCAGTGTCTCACCACCCTCATTATAAAAGACCTTCCTCTTTATGTCCAGTCTAAACCTGATCCCCTTCAGTTTAAAACTGTTGCTCCCCATCCTGCCATAACAGGCTGTTCCCTTCTTTCTTATAATCCATTTTTTAGATATTGAAAGGTCACAATAAGGAGGCCTTTTCCTTTCCTCTGTTTTCCTTGAAGCCTTCTCTTCTCCAGGTTGAGCAACCTCAACTCTCTCAGCCTGCCTTCCAAGGTTAACACCCCAGAAGGACCCAGACACCTTCACATACTTCCAGGCAAAGAAAGTCACCAAATATCCCTCTTGAACACAGTGCCCTCAATACCAGCAGCCAACAAAACTCTTCCCTGTTCACTCTCAGTACCAAGATGGAGGCACTGACTGAGGGACTGACGCTTCCATCCCATTCACACATGGCTGTTTCCATCACAGCCTGATGCTGCAATGTCTTGTTTGGCAAACCCAGAAGGACATGGGAAACATGAGCAGAGGAGGTGGTCACGTTGCCCTTAGTGAAAACACACTGAATTGATCCGAGATCCAATTGAGCCAAGCTGAAACCTCACAACACCCTCTCCCTCCTAACAGCACAGTTATTGTGATGACTGCCCTGAAGTTCACAAGGCCCCCTCATGGTGAGAGATGGCAGGTAACAAACATTTCTATGACTCACTGACTGCAGCACAGCAACCTCCTGGAGAGTCCATAAGGAGAGGGAGTAAAAGTGACAATGGGGTTCTCATGGCTGTCCTGGTGCCTGGGGGATGACGTGTTGGGGTGAGATGTCAGGGCAGACTTTGGGTCTGTCATTTTGACTGAAATGCCAAATATTCCTCTGTTGGTTTCCCATCAGTTGCAAGGTTTTCCCCTAAAGCCATCACACAAAGGTGAGGCTGTTTAAAATTCATTTCAGATGTCTGCTACTTATATGGTCACAATTATCCTGTCCATGATAGATGACTATGGTTTCATCAAAGCATCTTGTGACACTTGTCAGCACAATTTGCCCAGACATGGTCAAACACCTGGGGACCTCTTCTGTGTAACTTAAGCACTAGTATCAAAAAAGCAAGTGTTACAATTACGAAACCATTGAGCAAAGACATAAAGGAACTTTTGCCACAAAACTAATTAAATCTTTGGGAAAAGGACAGTATTTACCTCCAGCCTTCCCCATACTGCCTCAAGCAATATTATTCCTGAAAAGCTCCCAAGTGGTTCTTGTGCCCTGTCCTACTTTTGCCTCCCCATGACACTCATGGATCACAGTTGAATTGGGTGCACAGTTCGTGGTTGACACAGCCACTGCCAAACTGCCAATGTCCTAAAGGAATTTTCCCTTCGCCAAGCTGGCCTTGATCTGAACACTGTCTTCTTCAGAAAGGGATGGAAAATAAATCTTGCTGAAAGAAGGGCTCACTAAACTTACTGTAACACTCCCTTTTCCCTCCGAAAAACCCACCACAGCCTGGGGCACCAGCACTGCTACAGTAGGTGTAGGATTCATCTCACCCACCCTATAGCCATCCAAAGTATTTGTACCTAACCTAAGCGAGCTGGCTGGGGACACGCCACGTCTGATCAGAGAGAGGTGTTTGCAGTGTTGGCATCTGCATCCGAGCAAGTCGGCACAGGATGCTTTTGCAGTTGGTGAGGAATCTGCCATGTAGCCAGGGAAGACAAAGCTGCAATTCAACCCATTCATCAGATCCATCACACCTGACACCCTGTGGACAATGCTGACTAAATCTCCCCTGACTATAGCGCAAAACAAAAGCTGCACACTGACACTACAGGGGGGTTGCCATGTGATGACTCCCACATTGCCAACTAGGCACATGTAAAGAAACAGAGACTATCAGATGGCAAAACTGCTCTCAAAGCCCAACTTGAGCACTTGAAATGTCAATGCCCCCACCTCAGTGCATTTCCATCCTTTAATCATCCACCCCTCTAATAAGGGAAGGCAAAACAGATATGCCACATTTTGGCTTCCCCACTCCGTGTTCCAGCTCTTCCAGTAAGCAAAGATGGTTTTGTGCTCGTACAGAGCAATGAACAAGGCACAGCTACACATGCAGCCCATCCTATAGCCCTGCCTCTGTGGGGAGTAGCTTTTGGCAACAGGGCAGGTGGGAACTGGGAGCAGCGACGTCTCAAAGAGCTCCATCGGCATTCATTTCACATGAGGATGGTTATCAGAGCGTGCAGATGAGTTGTACATTCAGCACAGCTGTATTAACACATCTCAGTAAAACACCCTGAGACTCCAAGACAGAAAATGCCACATGGGCAGCTAATTTCCACCTAATAGCACATTTACCTCTGGCAGAAGTTATAGACTGCAAGTGCTTCATGAGCCATTCACAGGAACATTTGTAGGCACTACTGAGGAACACAGGAACTTAATTATCTCTTTTAAAATGACCTGTGTGATTAAAAAACCTATTTGGACTTCAGGTGCCCTGGGATCCGTAATTCCCGATCTAGTTGCTCAACTGGCACAATCTTGAAGGTACCATACAGGCCATTCACATTGCTCTAAATTGTTCTCCCTACCCACCAAACCCACAAGCATGCCCCAAAATCCACCCTCCCAAACCATCAGAGAGAAGCAAAACCCCAACAACTCTCTCCTTATCTTTATCCACTACCTGCCTGCGCTTCCCAAAAGAATACAAATTCCCTCTCTACTGGGGTCACCAAACTTTCAGCATGAACACATGCCCGAGCATCTTTAGATGTAAAAAAAAAAAAATATATATATATATATAGGGAAGTCATTATGCTTCTCGGAAACTTTGTGCAAGGCTTTATTAACAAGGCTCAGCAGCAGTTTTTAGAACCCACTGGCAGTTCACAGCTTGAACCCAAAGACACACCAAGCGCGAACCCTCTTACTAATAATGGCCTGCAGGGCTGGAAAGCCCCTGTGCCTCTCTCAGCCCTGTGTGGCAGTGAGGTGACATGCCTGGGTGATCGATTTGAATACGTTTAGCTGAGGCCACCCACGGGGAAGCACAGATCCTGCCTCTGAGCTGCCATCCCGACCCCAGTGATGCAAGGTGAGTAGGGCAGGGGATGGCACTCTCATTTCTCTACCCCAAAAGTATTTCCACCGAGTGATGGTTAAGAGCACTCATCAGAATTTTGGGGTATTTTTTAGGCAAGTCATTGTAGGAGGATATGCCCAAAGTGGAAGAATACATTGGTAAAATTCCTGATGCCCTGATCCTTGCATTTACTGGCTGATGCTGCACGAAAGCCCAAAAGCCAAACCCTCATCCCTTCTCCCAAGAGCAACACCAGATTATCACTCAGAAAAATGTAGTCCTGAGATAAATTCATGGCACATGAATATCTGATGCAGAGTCCAAATGGAGGAGACCTCACAGGCATTTTCTATTTATGAGGCAGGGGCCTAACTGAGCCTATGTTATAAGCTGTCATGCAGGGGCTACTGCTGGAGCCAGATTAAATGTAATTGTTTTTTATTTTATAGCATGAGCAGGACACAGCTCTTTACTACAAAACAAAAGCACATCCTAAAGAACAGAAACTCCAATGAGCAAAGCAAAGCATCGAAATCACAGAACCACAGAATGGTTTGGGTTGTATGGAATTTTTAAGTACCATCTAGTCCAACTCCACTGCTATGGGCAGGGACATCTCTCACTAAATCAGGTTGCTCAGAGCTCTGCCCAGCCTGTTCTTGAGTACCTACGGGGATGGGACATCCACAACTTCTCTGTGCAACCTACTACAGTGTCACATCACCCTCCAAATTTTTCTCACTGCTGTATGGCCCTTTGCATCCTGCCAAGCTAAAGCCACTTCAGTCTCCTGCCATCCCATGTAGGTTAACACCTCCTCAGCAGCTCCTGCCATTCTGTACTTATTTCCCACCTTCACAGCTCAGCTCCTTTTGCATCTCTCCCAAGGGCAGGTTTCTTCCTGTTGCTCATCACTTCTTAAATCTCATCACCTATTGCTCACACACCCTTAAGGCCAGTGGTTTTGGAAGCAGAGGGAGTTTCAGGTGTACACTCTCAGGTAGCCTGCAAATTCATCCCTGAATGTAGTAATTCCATAGGTTCTCATGGAGCTGAGCACACTGGGTACAACTCTCACTTGCCATTGAGTCAAATTTTTTTTTTCCACTTTATTGCAGCCAGTATCTCATCCCAATGACTTAAAAGTAAGATGCTGCAAGATCAGTTGCCTTACCTGTTTCTGCACCTTCTGGTTTGTCATGCTGGAGAAGGAGTGTAATGGCTCTGGAAACACAAAAAAAACAAAACAAAACAAAAAAAAACCCCAAAGAATCAAGGAAATCCACTTATGATATCTATTAAAAAGACAAAAATTTCAGGTCCCGGAGAACAGCTACAACACTGCAGCCTTTCAACACTAGCTTTCATTTCAAGGTGACAATTTGAAATTACATGAGCTGCCCCATACCCTGTACCCCACTGAGGGAAGCAGAACTTCTTCTGTGAACCCTTTGTACGGACAAAAGAAGAAGGACAAAAGGTGCCAGAGACCCAAGCACGTTCATGGAAATGCATGGATGGTGAAATTAAGGTTTCTGGCTCTTGGCATCACATGACAGCTGTTATAAAACAGTATATTCCTCTCAGCTGCACAGCTATCAATACTGCATGAGTCATCTGTAATACTTATCTAATGGTGAGTAAGCTGCTCCTGCCGGTCATACTTTCCAGATAAATCTGCGAAGAAAACAAGAGGGAAAAAAAAGAACTATCAAAACATGTTATCAAAGAAACAAAATGAATGGGATGGTACTCTGTCAGCAAGACAGCACACAAAGCGGCAGAGGCAGAGTTGGCTTGGGGCTCATCAGATGAAACGTGCATGCCAGGAGAAGCAAGGCAACTATCAGGGTCCGCACGGAGTATGACTGAGGTACCACTAAACCAACCATAACGTGACCCTTCCTGCTGGTGGACACTTCAGCAAACACCTATGGCAGAGGCTGTACGTTGACACAGTTTTTGGGACTGGGACTCAAACTTACAGACGTGGTGGTTTGGGGATTTTTGCTCATCATTTCCTTGCTTGGCAGTGACTGCAGGTCCAAGTGAGGATGCAGTCCTAGGGAAAGAGCTGCTTGGGGTTGGTTTCTGTAACATCCCAAACAGCAGGGAAACCCCAACTCGCCCATGAACTGGGTGCAAAATGATTCTGAACACAGGGGATGTTTTCTCACCTACCCCTGTTTTGACTAAAGCTCAACAACTAAATTGCAAAACTTTAGTGGTGAAATTTATGACAGAAAAAGACAAAGACACCTTCTTTCAAATCTATATGATGAAAGGAACCCTGAACGACCACACTGGCTCTTTTGCACCCTTTTTTGGCCTTTGTGTTGCTGCCTGCCTGTGTCTTGGGGGAGTCTGGTGAGCCACAGGAGCTGAGGCCAAGACCTAGAGAACTTTCTCACAAGAGAAATCGCTAGTGGGGAGGTGGGGGAAATACCCCAAGGGTCTCCCAAGGGGGCTGAGTCATCACATGGGTGTCTTGTGGAGATTTCAGACAGGGAGTTGGGATGCGGGGGCAGAGAGGGGAGAAAACTCCACACACCTCCCCAACTTCACATACCAGAAAGGCAGAGAAAACCCCATGTATGAATCACTCTGCCCTGACACCTCAGAGCCACCAAAGTGTTTCATACAGGCTGTCATGAAGGTTCCTGCCAGCAGAGAGGAGCCCATGCGCTGTCCTTGCAGCCTGGCTGTGAGGCTTTGTGGGCAAGAAGATTCCAGGGTGGACAAAATGCTTCCGTTGGATTGCCTGCAAGTGGGGAGCAGGCATGGGGGGACGTCCATGGGGACCAACACAGACCCACCAAACCCCAAGACCTCCACACCCAAGAGTAAAGCTTGAGGTGAGGTCACCTCCATCTCCTCCTACCTGGAAGGGACTGGAAAATAAAAGCTCTTGTCATGGTTAGGGCAGTGTTTCATAAAATCACAGAATGGTTTAGGTTGGAAGCATCCTTTAAGGATCATCTCATTCAAATCAACTGCAATGGGCAGGGACAGTTTCCACTAGACCATGTTGCTTAAAGCCCCACCCAACCTGGCCTTGAACACTTTCAGGCATGGAGCATCCACAACTTCTCTGGGCAAACTGTGCCAGCATCTCACCACCCTCATCATAAAAAGTGTCTTCCTCATGACCAAACTAAATCTATCCCCTTTCAGTATAAAGCCATTCCCCTTTATCCCATCACTCCATGTCCTTGCCAAAAGTCCCTTACAGATCTCCTGTAGCCTTAGAACTTAAGCTGCTCCAAGGTTTTCCCAGAGCCTTCTCTTCTCCAGGCCTCTCTCAGCATTTTCTCACAGGTGAGGTGCTCCACACCTCTGATCATCTTTGTGGCCACCTCTGGACCTGCCAAAACAGGTCCATACTCTTCCCATTTTGGGGACTCATTGCTGGGGCAGTTTCACACTGCACCCCCAGCACTGCTCAGGGTTACCTCTGGCTCCCCTACCTGCCCCAGGGACGGAGGCTCTTGTCAGACAAGCGCAGGAATTGACGCCATCAGGAACAAACTTGACTGTGTTTTTTCTCTGAGTTGATTTTTGTTTAAGTCAGTGTTGCAGCACTACAGGATCCCACGCTCCCAGGCACCAACACCAGGGATGGGCTGGAAATCAGTTTGGGGGAGTAAAGTCAGTGGGACCAGCCCCTTTGGCATCGGCACACTCACACTGGATGGAAAGGGATGCATAAGCAACAGCCTCAGACAGTTGCTCTCAGCACTTAACCATCAACCTCGGAATAAAAGTGATTCACCACTGCAGCACAGGCTGTGTATGGGGACAGCCATTCAGAAATAAAACCAGGCCAACTTATTCTCTCCTGAAACCTCAAATTCATATTCATTAGATATACTTTCTCCCCTCCCTGATATACCTTATGGGGTTGAGTAAGCTGTACTGCTCCAGGCTCTCTCATCCCAGGTGTTCCTGTCCACCTCTTCCCATTCAAATTTGCCTGAAGTCACAACAACTGTACCCAATCAATGCTCTTGGGAGGGTATCTTCTCCTCTATGAAGCCTGCCCTGTTTTTCCAAGTACTTATCTGCTGCTCTGAGACCTTTTTACTAGAGTCTTTAATTCTAAGTTTGGCACTTGGTTTGCCTTTTTTTTTTCGTCTTCTTCTGAGTTGTATGATCAAAATTGCCTTTTAAATGTCTATATATACATTTCACGGGAAATCAGTATACAGGGGAAGAGGGGGAAAACCTGTCACATCTTACCACCACGATGCAAATATAGCATGGAGTAGGAACTGAACTGGCCACAGATGCAATCTAGCCCTGTCAGTGCTTTTGTACCATGTGTGATACAATATTAGACACAAATTAGGAGATTCCCACAAAGGAAACGACCATTTAGCCAGCTCAGTTTTTGGTGGGAAAAAAAAAAAAAAAAAAAATAAGAGAGGTCTATTTGGCCAAGCATAGGATTTAGCCTAGCCAGTTTTGCAGGAATAAAAAGAGAAAGAAGGAATCAATAATAATCTATGTAGCAACCTATCACAGTTCTGCACATTTCTATCGGTAAATAAACGTAGTTGTATTACAAGGATTGCCCATCTGTATTACGATACAAAGGCAAACAAATGTGCACCACCAGCTTTGGATCAAGGCTCTGGAATTTACAGAAGCAAGGAAAAATCAACAGGGGCTTTGCCTGAATAAAGACTGCTGGTTTAAGCATACATGACTTGCGCTAGTGTTCAGTGAAACAGCCTGGATTGCGTGTGTGTGCAGTTAAAGATAAGTATCTCAATATATTTATATCAAAGGGATAGAGGGGGAAAAAAAAATCTCACATGCAAATATGGTGGCATTCACACAGATCTTGCAATGGTGCTGTCACAAGAGGTCACAGCTCTGGAGCTGACAACCCCTCTGATGCAGGCATTTTCTAAAAGGGGAGTTCATTTGGCTGCCCCTACACACAGTTGCTCTACACACAGTGAAAAAGTCAGATAGCAAGCATGCAGTGAGGTGACACAGCACTGCAGTCATCCAACTCCTCATTTGCCACATGCTAGAGAATATTTCTGGATCCCTTATTTTGGGCTTGGAAGTTTGGAGACTGGATTCTTAAAAGAAAATGTGTGAAAATAATGTGTTCTTCTTAACCACTTATGTGTCTGTTAGCTTAGATAGCACCATTATGCTGGTGAAGTGATGGTGTTTTTAATGGAGCAAAAGTGCAGTCACCCGTGGCATTCAAGAGAACTGCTGCTCAACATCTCCTCCTCTGCAGTCACCTACTGTTGGATTTGTATCTGGTTTGGTCACTCAGCTCCATCAAGCTGCTCAAAGTGCACCTCCCAATCCCTACAGTAACTACTAATTCTCTTGGGGTGTAAATATAGCTGTCATCTAAGATGTTTGCAGCCATTAATTAAATTTGGAGCTCTAGGTACTGTGAGATGTTATCTCTCTTCGAAAGCAGCAGCCTTGACTCAGCAAAAGGTGGAGAGAGAGGGAGAGACCGTGCTTCTTCACTTTCCTCAAAGGTCAGCAAGGGAACGCCCCGGAAACCCTGAGTAGTAACACCTCGTCCATAACCAAAGTACAGGAGCTGTATTTAGGCAGCTGCCTGATCACAAGAGCTACAAGGACACGTGTCTGCTCAGCAACAAACAACTTGAAATGCAGATGCCTTTTATTAGCCGCCCTTGTATTTAGCTTGGCTCAGAAGAGCGTGCTGCTCCGCTGGTGGGTCCTGCAGCGTATGGAAGAGCAGTTATTAGTGAAGCTAATTATCAACAACGTGGCTACTTAGAGGGCTAAAAATAGCACAGTGTATTAATAGATGGAGTGCAAAACTGGGACACAGAAGATGACGATTCTGATCTCGAGCGCGGCAGCAGCCTACACGATCTCGGGCAAACCTCTTCATCTGGGTGTTTTGTTTTTACAGTTTGCAAAGCAGGCAGAAAAATCACTTCTCAGAAAGGCTGCAAGGCTGAATTCCTCAGCATCCGGGAGCACTGAGAGGTCCTCTCCTGTATCTCCACACAAATGGAAAACGTTCCTCTGTCAGCAGGACTGGCTCCCACACAGTAATTTCATGCCATTTATGTGGCTACTCAGGTGACAGTTCCCAGAAAGCTGTAACATTTACTTTAAATACCTGAGTTCACTAATCACTGATCAAAGGAATGCAGACTTTGGAAATGGTTTCCAGTTGACCTGGAGCTGCTGGAGCAGAGCGGCAAGTGCTCTGGCTCAACCCGGCACCGATCTGTAGACAGGAAGACCATTGCAATGGGGGAAGTGCATGACTCACTTATTTCATGCAAACTTTAACCAATTCAAAAATCTTATGATTTGCATCTAGCTAATGACCAGAGACACAAAGACTTGTAACGACATTATAAACCGCTCTGCCTCCCCACCACACAAGCACAGGTTCAGCCCAGCACCTGAGAGCACACACATGAGAAATCAAGTCCTTCCTCCCCCTGACTGCCCTTCCAGGCTGTGGAAGGGTAGTACCACCACTGTGCTGGAGGACATCTCCTTCACAGCAGCACACCTCACCAGCCTTCAGAAGAAGGAAAGGACATGAGGAGCCACAGTCTCCCAAATCCTGTATATCCTAGAGAAGCTCCAGTGCCCAAACCTGATCAGCCCTACAGGGGTTCCAAGGCACCCCGTCACCACGTAGGTTG